TTGTACTTATCCTCCTTGTATTTATCCATATGTTGTAGTTATCCTAATCATTATAGGATTAGGATAATCATCCCCTTTATTTGTAGCAATCCTTATCTCCTAAGGAATATGCTTTATTCTCTTGTATGTATATATATATGTGTAACCACGTGATTAATAATACAATGAGAGTTACAACAAACCTTCTTATTTCACAACATTTATAATATTTATTTTGTTCATCTCGTTCTCTCTTGATCTTTTTTCCTTTTTCTTCATATATAAATAATGAATGTATGCTTGGCCTAATCTTGTGTTTTCTCTAGCCACCAGTGTTGTTTATTACTATAAATAAACTCTATAAAAAATTTGACAAAAAAAAAAAAAAAAAAAAAACTCTATAAAAGTCTCTTTATCCTCTAAAATCTTTCTTTTATTAAATAAACTAGCATAGGCGTACGTCCGTAACAAAATCTTTATGTTTCATCAATAAAGACAATTTTGTTATATTCTTTTACACTATCTCGGGCACTCCAGTCAACTCAAATAAATTGTCTTGAAAAAAAAAACATTTGGAACGGGAACGTAAAACAATCCTATATTAAATCGTATATGATCGAGAGAAAAAGAATCAGTGGGGCAACTATTTTTCTGTGGGCTCGTAAACTGGTCTCATCAACTCTGATAGCATTTTGTCAAAAAAAAACTCTGATAGCAGCCCATAAATCGCACAAGCACAATTCCGCTTTCTTACATCAATGAATCAATCTAACTCTTTTTGTAAAAGGCCGTATAATGAAAATCCTTTTTTTATTTTACGGTGATGAGAAAAAAAAAAAGCCTTGGCGGCAATGGTGAACTGCCCAACAAAAAGAAAACAAGAGAAAACAAAGCATACATAAAGCGAAAGAAAAAACGAGAACACGAGAAAATAGTGATGGCAGTGAACATGTGGAAAAGACAGAAGAATCGTTGAAGATTATGAATCATGGTTTTCATTCTCATGTAAATCATCTGCATGCACTCTTCACTAAAAAGACATCCAGTCATTTGTAGTTTTATTTTATATTTATAATAGAATTTATTTCTACAAAATTTCATAATACTTTGATAATATTTAATAAAATTATATTTAGAACACATTGAAATTAATGTACGATATATATCCTATATACTTCAAATAATGTGATAAAACAATATGAAAGTCGAATTTAAAAAATTTAATGAATATATAAGTAGTGAAATCAGCTTTTTATTTTACATAATGTATTATACAATATAAAAGAAATCTAAAATGATATATGTATAAATTAATAACTCTATAAACTAATAATATAGTACAATTCCAACATTATTAATTTATAAATTTTTAGTGTATATATAGTACCTTAAAAGGAAAATATTTACAATAATACTAGTACATAATTTATGCATGGGTCATGGGTGATGCCTTATTGCGCCTGGTGTGGTCCATAAACATAAACAAGACCCTCACCCTCCACATATTAATTCTGCTATTGATATTGTTGGTTTTATTGTAAGTGTCATTTAAGGTTTTTACACACGAATTAAAGAAAAAACAAATTTTGTTTTACTTCTATTTAGTATATTATTTTGTTTGATTTTCTTAATTAATGTGTTAAAATATAAGTAAAATCTGAAAAGAATATTTGATATTTTTTTAAAAAATGTAAAATGACATTTATAACGGTATTTGATATGAAATAGAGGGAGTATATGTAAGACCACCCGCAACGCGGGATGTTAGCTAATTCTTAGCACAAAAACCTAGGCAAAACAGATTAAAATAACAATATTAAATTTTGGTAAGTTAAGAAAGAATCCTTAGTTAAGGAGTTTAAGGATTTGATCCTTACCGACGTGGCACTCTTCTCTCATCTCTATCATCCTCTCCTCTCCCAATCTTTCTCTCTCTTTCTAGCCTTCGATGAATTCTCTTCTTTCTCTTGACTTCCTTCTTCTCTTCATATCATATCAAACAGAGAGTGGAAAAAAGCCTTCAGATACTCTCCTCCTCCTTCAAGCTCGCCTCTCTCCTCTGCCGCGAGAATAACCCCTCCTCCGCAATCAACCTTTTCCGAAACCCTGATCCAGAATCAACAAACCCAAAAAAAGCCTTCAGATACTCCCTTCTTTGCTACGACCTCATCATCACGAAACCCGGATTGGGAGTAAAGTGACGTTCTTTATTTGGAATTAGAGTCCTTTGTTTTTATGCAACTAGTACTTCTTTGATGTGGTTCCTTCTGTTTCTTGTGGAATTTGATGTCTTGATTAAGAAATTAGGAAGCTTGATTTGATTTGATTTGGTTTGTTAAAAGGAATTTGATGCCTTTCTTCTACCCTTTTAGACTTTTTTAACCAGTTGCCTCTGAAGAATCAGACAGAGAGAGAATCTTAATTCCTATACTCTCTCCTTTCATGTCTTGTCCTGAAATCATGCTTCAGTGTTTTAGTTCTTAGATATGTTTGGTGTTCTCTTAGTGTATTGGCTTTTGATCTTTGTAGTTGACTTGGAGTTTCTTCTTGTGTTTTAGGTATCCAAACCTATAATGATGCCAAGCATTATGCGATTTCTGCAAAGATTCCAGAGTTTAGCAAAAACAGGACTCTTGTTGTACAGTACTCTGTTAAAATCTAACAAGACACTGAATGTGGTGTCGCTTACATCAAGCTCCTCTCTAGATACGTTAACCAGAAGCAGTTTGGTGGTGATACTCCTTACAGGTTAAACTTCATGTCTTCTTTTAATGAACATTTAGTTCCTTGAAGGTTATATATAGCAATCTTAGTTTAGTTGCCTTGGTTTAGTTAGGTTGAGATGTTTTTACTATGTGGTCTTTACATGGTGTTGTGTTTAGAAATTTTGATTAGTGCTTATTTTTGTATGCAGTCTAATGTTTGGACCAGATATATGTGGCACACAGACGAGTTGAAGCTGTTCAGTTCCCATAGTGTTAAGTCTTAGTTTGATTTATTGGAGAAAGAAGCTGAGTTTGGTGGTAACAAGAGTTTGTTACTTGGAGAAAGAAGCTGAGTTTGATTAGTGTTTGTTGGTGGTTTATGAATTGGAGGATTAATCTATAAATAGTTTTTTTTTTCCCTAAGAACTTCAAAATAGAGTACACCATTGGACAAACATTTTTTATTAGAATCCTTAACTGTTTAAACAAAAAAAAAATTAGAAAAAAAAATGCATTTAATAATGCTAAGGACTCCAATGGTAGTAACACCATTGGAGATGCTCTAAGTGTCAACGAAGAAAAGGAGTTGAATTTTTAGTACAAACCAAACGAATAGCATATATTAATATAAGTAAACTGTATACTTTATGTGCATTATGATGAATGGTTGGGCATTATATGGGCTTTTCCTCCCCACAGCGGACGGTCAGTGCCAGGAATGATCACGTGTTGAGCTGAAAATCAGCCTTTGCAGCAAAACAAAATTGCTAATGTATCTCCCTGATTGCCCAACTCAAATACGACACGTGTACTTCTTTGTAAAAGTAAAGGAGAGACCCACCCAGCTGGAATTAGGGGAACCATGGACAATTGTCCTTTTAGCGTCGTCATATCATCGTCGCCTACTGGTAACGAACGTAACACTAACAATAGTATATTCTACTTATTTCACTAATTATCAATAGTAATGCGTAACTCCAAATTTTCTGATCCCATACTCATGAGTCACGACATTGACTCCGTCCATGAGTTTAGTAGATACAGTGGTTATACTATACACAAATGCGTAGCTACTTGGTATAACCTAAATCAAGCACGCAGACGGTTATAGATCCACAGTACTGTAAGCTTTGGAAGACAGTGTTCTGTCTTGCTACTAGTATTAGTAGTAACAAGTAGTACAAACTAAATCCCAGTGGTGCAAATAAACATGGCTAATTAAATTTTAACAAAATTGGTTTGATAAGCTTTCGAAAGGGATGACATTAACGAGACCTCCTTCCCCTCTCAACCAATTTTCTCTCCGACAAGATAATAATAATTTGTAATATCAACCAATCAGCTTTCCAAAAAAAGGATAATAATAATAAATGAGCTGAAATATCTTTTTATATTTTTATAAAAAGAAAGAAAAGGAAAGCACGTGGCTTGCATCGATCAGTCATTTTCTAAATGTTGGTTTGCTGTAGTTATCTAGGAAAATTCCAACAGCACCAGCCACCATCAGACAAAAAAAATGCAGAGATTGTCAATCAATTTAATAATTCAGTTGCCCTAAATGAATAAACGATGAAGGAACCACACCCATGCACCCAGTACCTTCCCCGGTCTTTGCTTTCATTACCAGCAGCTCTATCATTTATTCAACTAAACCAATATATTTACTGCTAATATATATCTTTTAAAGAGAATTCAATCGATCAACAAAGTGGTTCATTTTGCAACTGAAGATCCTCGACTAACTAGGTAAAGAAACAAATTAACAAACACATCTAAACGAGAACAATGAACTAACATTAATAAAGAAGTACATTACATGACCAAATATCAATTTATCGATCCACTGCTAACAAAGAAGATGATAACAATTTTAACAACGTAGTAGCTAGCGCTGTTAATAATAGCTAAATGCAAAGATTAATCAGCTAGCCACTCGAGAAAAACATTGAATTAGAGGAAGATGCTGACGTGGAAGACGATGGTGTTGTTGTTTGGAAGTGCTTTTGACGGAAACATTCCAGTGAAATTGTAGGCGGCGTATTGGATGGCGACGGAGAAGACTTAACACCCGAATCGTTCGGGGACTCTGAAATTAAGATAACAAGAATGTTTTAATAAAGCATATATATATATAGGTAGATGGGACAAGCTAAGTAGTCAAGTACGTACGTGTCGTGGTGGTAATATCCTGAGTGGGTTTGGAGGTAGACTGGTGACATTTACGGCGGCGTCGATTATGGTCAGCAAGTCGCTTACGGCAGCTCCGTTTCCCGTTGTCGAATTCGGACAGCAAATGGAACCTGTAAATAAATGTAGCATATATGACCACGGATATAGATAAAATAAAGATAAAGACGAGTGAGTAAGTAGATCGGCGGAGATGGTAAATTAAGTAAAGAGGTTAAAAATAATTTTGCTGTTTGGGTTAAAAAAGGAGGGACATCGGGATCACACACAACAAAGTACGCTCGTTCTCTCTCTCAATGATTGCGTTAGATATGATGATATGATCCATCGTCCTCCGAATAAGAAAATGATTAAGTTCAATCAAAGGTCATTTCCGTCTAATTAAAATTAAAATAGGCCTAACTTAAAAAAAAAAGAAAAGAAAGAAAAGCTTGTACAAGATTGGAGGAACATTAATAATTTAATACTGCTACTGTAGAACTATTAGTAATCATGTAATAATGTGTACGGAAGAAGCATTACCCCCGACCCAATGGAACATGGAACATTTTGCAAAGGTGAAAAAGATGTACGGACGGACAAAGAGGCTGTAATGGGTATCTGTGTCAAAGGTGGGGAATATGAAGGAGACCAGAAATAAATATGTTACCTGCTGCACTGCTGGCAAAAGCGCTGGCTAAGCCCAGCGGCCACAACCGTTGAAGCTTTAGAGTGAAACTCGCAGACTTTGTGGCGGCGGTGATAGTGTTTGGCGTGGCTCAGATCCGCGTTACATCCTTCCGCTTGGCACCTTGGAGTGCTCAGCGCGTTCCCCATTCCAAACTCACCAGGTCGAGACCGCCTGTACAGCCTGCTCACGAAGTCGTCGTCCGCCGCGGAGAAGTATGTCCGCCCTCCCAGATTCAGACCGATTCTGTTTGAAGTGAAATGAGACACGTCGACTTCGGTCTTGGGGATGAGGAAGTTGTAAGAAGAAGATCCGGATCCTGGCCCTGTCTGGTCGAAGGAGAACAAGGCTGAGTGGTGGGGATGGCCGTAGATTGAATCGGATGATGAGGCGGCGTAAGGATGATTGGTGGTGGTGGTGCGAGGGTCGTAGACCAAGGAGGGATGAAACTGGTTGCTGGTCTGTTGACCATAGACGGTCAAATGTTGTTGGTTAGTGAAGGAGGAAAATTGAGGTGGAGAAATGTTATTGTAAGAGGTCTGATTATGATGGGTATGGGTCGGGTCGAAAATGGACAAGACTCGGCTCGGGTCAGGCTCCTGCTGATGTTGATGATGATGATGGCTTCGATCTTCTCCGGATAACAATATCACGGAGGGGTTGTCCCATTCGTAGTCCAACATGTTCCAGGAATAGTATTTGAGGAGATCCCGAGAAAGATCTTTCTTTTCTTTTTCTTATTTGTGTGTGCCGCTCGATATATTTAAACACAAAGTGAAAGAGAGATGGATGAGTGAAGAGGCTAATAAAGGAAGGCGATAGGAGACATGTCGGTGCGGAATAGGTTATGGCGCGGTTTTAATTGACTGAAAGCAAGCGACGTACTATACCTCTATTGGAATTAGAGGCTCTCACCTTCGCCAGAACATTATGAGAGAGAGAGAGAAAGAGAGGAAGAGTACTGTGTCACTGCAAATACATTCGAAAAACCCTAACTTTCTACTTGGGGAGAGGTGCCCTCTATCAAACGTTTTTTACTTATAATTTATTTTATTTTGTACGTAATTGATATATATATATATTGTAAGCTGTAACATGTGAACATTTGGATAGCTGTAAAGCGATTATAGATAAGAAAAGTATTGAGTAAAACGGAGCTGAACCGATCATATATCTTTTTAAAATTCAGGTTATTCACTATTCTTATTATAAAGTGAAGATGGAGAAAAAAAGAACCACTCACATGGGTAGGGTGGTGAATCTCCCATGGCCCACTGTGAGTGTCTGTGCCATTTCACTAATCTTAAGTGTACCAAACATCAATCATATGCACCTTTACGGAGTAGTATTTTATAATTATACAGCAATTTTAATTAAAATGTATAGCTGCAAGAGCATGTGCATTGAGGGTTTATAAGGAGGTTCACACAGTTTTCTAGATGAACAGTGATGAACTTCTCTCTCCAAAATTTCATCCCGGTGAACTCCAAGAGGGTGAAGTTCACCACGTGTCGAAAGGGGATTGGTTCAATTATTTTTTTTTATTTTTCTTTTTAAAAAAAATCTGACAGGAAAAAATAAAATAATAAAATATTAAAAAGATGAACCCAAAGAGGGGTTCATTGATGTACATGTTCTTATGGGGAGCCTCTAGTGATCTTTTGATCTGACAAAGACTAGTAAATACGTGGAACTAATTTTGCTGAAACGTGGATTAAAAGAAAAAGAAATTAGAAGGAAGGAAGGAAAGAAAGAAAGAACAAAAAAAAAAAAACTGTTGTGATCGTGTGGTTCATGATGAATTGGGTGGGGTGTGTATAAACGCGTTTGTTCTGCTTATTAATTATGGTAGGACCAACATCTCATCATCAAATATCTTTTTGTTGATGTAAGTATATGAATTGTGTGTATTGATATTAATAGTTGTTTCCAGGCTCGATTCTATGTGAAAATTATTTAAATCGTAAATCTCTTGTCATCAAAATACATGAATACGTGTATATGTTTTCAATAAAACAACACGAGCAGATAAATACTTTTAGCAGTGTAGGATTAGTTTACAAAGAAGAAGAAAAGGGGAACTGGGGAAGAATAGTTGAGAAACACGCCAAGAATGTACTGTGAAATGCTGTTGGGGTTTAGAAAGACAAGATGGCGTTTCCGTAAATAAGATACAAATGAAGGTGGATCGTTAAAGGGAAGACAAGAGTGACCGATCGTATCTGCTACGTACTCCACCCCACAATGATTCGCCTCTCTATCTCACGCACCCACGCTTCTGTACATAACCGACGGCTCAGATTCTAAGAGAACACGTGGCTACGCGGGGTAGAGAGTAGAGAGAGGCAAGAGAGTGAGATGGTAATGAGTCCAAAAAAGGAGGGGGAGAGTGGAGTGGGCCCCTTTTGGTACTAGAAGGCTGCCACTGACGTTGACTCACTTGTACGGACTGTCCATTATCCTCCCTCTTCTGTTTTTTTTCCCCCTTAAACTCAAAAAAAAAAAAAATTGGAAGCTCTTAGACTAAGCATGGCATAAAACCCAAACGTGAACATACTTTTTTTTTTACTAAAGTTGTTAAAATAAAGTTCTTTCCTTTGCATATAGTATTGTGGAAGCTCTTAGACTAAGTATGGCATATCGGTTTGTTCAATTGAAGTACTTGGATAACACATAATTGAGATAAATGGCTAGAAGATCCATATAAGAATCAGTATTCGGATCACTTCGGATAATTTCGGGTTGACGTAAGTTAGAATAGTAGATCAAAAGACTTGGATGTCTTGGATATCATAAATTTTAGGTAATTCTAATTTTTTTTTAACGTAATTTATTTTAGATATCTATAGATATATTTAATTTATAAGTATATATAATATTTGGTTATATTATACATGCACAATAGTATAGATTTTGGTATTCGTCTCATTTTTAGATTTTTGATTCAGTTAATTCTAATATAAAAAGATATAAGAGTTGTCCAATATATAGATAGGAATAGTTTAGATATTTAAAGGTTTTAGTTTGGTTTTGATTTTGGTTATTTCAGTTAAGTTTTAGTTGGGATTCTTTTTGACCTATCTCAAACAACTGATATCCCTATTATTTTCGCTTGTATAGAAAGAAAAGAATCCAAGTAGAGTAATTTTCCATAAAACCAAAACTAAATCATCGCAGCTTCTTAAAACCAAGCTGACAATTTACCTTGGTGGTACACAACATAGCAAGGTGTCGGTTTGAAAATTCTCTATCATTCTACATGCACTACCGCTGACAGACAACAAAAGGTTGTCATTATATTTATGTATAAAATATATATTATTTTGTGGTATGTGAAATCAACGACTTATTTTGTGTAGAAACCAAACGCAAAATCCATAATTAATAAAGCTAAAGCCGGGGAAACAAAGAACTCTAATATATATTATTTTTTTGAGAAAACTCTAATATATCTTTTCTGATTGAAAAGGGAGAAATGATATTTTTTTCATTACCATATTAAAGAAATAATCGAAATCAAGAAAGGTTGCATAAGAATAGAGAAAAAGACGAAGAAAAGGAGGAGGATAATGCTACACCAAAACGTGTTGCCTTGTCAACATCTCTTAATTGAGCAACCACTTATTGCACTCACTCATGAGTCATGAACTTCTCCTCCCCACATTGATCTCTTCCCAGTATATAGATAACATGCCCTCAGATTTCCGTGAATGGATATTACATAATTATAATCATGTCCTAGGTCAGTGCAATCAAGAAACATTTCTCTAATACTAGTTTTCTTCAACATCAAGTAATGTCAAGGTCCTTTTATTTGAACAACATAAAGTCAAGATCCTAGTATATCTTATTATATGGGTTTTATTGTCAAGTTAGCCAGAACAAATTATGCAAGCCCAGTTGATAATTTCCAATGGGCTTCAGGTTGGTATTAGATCTCGAACGGATTCTAATCCTAACGAAAGGTTTGGAGCTATTTCTCGACCGGTCGTTTTGTAACTTGTAAATTTGTCTCGCAATGTTTTGTAGTGACTCCAAGTCTGAGCAACCGGTGTGATATCTATCTATTCATTTTGCTGCAATGTCGAAGCTAATAAGATTGGGAACATTTTTTTTTTTTTGTCAAACATGTTAAGAATTGAGAGAAATCCTTCATTCTTCTTATTACAAGTCAGCTATCCGATCCAAATTTTAACGATCAAGGTTTCAAATCAAGACTTCTTCTCACAGAGAACAATCTTTCTTCTGAGACACCTTCGAAAGCTGCTGGAGAGTTGTAAGATGATTTGATGTGGAGTACAACAAGGGATATCATCATCACAAAGCTTATTGACCCGGCTTTCAAAATTGGAGCAGTATATGTATAAAGAGTTTGGGCAGCATGCCCTTATGTTCTCCCATGTGTTTAGATTTCGAATTTCTCCGTTTTCAATTTTGTGCGAAGTTCATACATGTCCCTCATGCAGCAACACCATACTGTATGTGATGGAGAATGTGAGAGTCTAGCTGAAGAAGAATATATTACAAGTAGATGAATCAAATTGCAATCTCAAACATGTTCTTTCTAGTTTGTTTCCGACCATCTCAAACTTTATCAGACCAGCAGTTACCTTTTTGGTCAGATCCCACCTTCTTCATAGTCAATCACTCCGCTTAGTTCTCCAAACATCTCTTTATGTCCTCTGCTGTCAACATCCTCCTGCCCACAATGTAAGTTAGACTACATCCACCACCACCCTTCCCAACCTAATTTCGAGAATTTTCCAATTATTCTCTTTCTACATCCACTAGTTCAAGTCAGACTGCATCCATCACCACCCTTCCCAATCTAATTTCAAGAATTTTCCAATTATTTTCTTGATACATCCACTAGTTCATCAACATTTACTTATTCAAAAGCACAGACTTTGTTTCATTCCACCCCAAAAAAAGACATTACAATTTACAACTGATTCACTCTAGTGGTAACAAGGATATATATGGAGCACCAATTTCTCTAACATGTCTCTATAATTTACCACATTTTTTTGTTCATAATACGTAGCATGTACTCTCGATAAAACCCACTTTAGTTCTCTAAAAATATTAGATAGAAAAGCTACTCGGACTCTAACTTAGTGTTACTAACACTAAATCTAACTAAAAAACTAATTAATTACAATATATATCTAGTAGGGAATAGTGAAGCCCTAAGGCATGCATCACCGACCTTCATGGACAAAGACTTCTTTACTTCTTCTACTCCTAATTTCTTGCGATGTTTTTTTTTTTTTTTTGTCTATTTCAGTCATATTGTCCACCCATTTTAACTTGTTTTGAATTGAACCGAGAAGATTATCTGATGTGTTCAACATACACATAAACAGTTTCAAAAATTAAAGCAAAGCAAAAACTATTTCATGAAAAAAGACACTTCATACATAACTGAATAGGAAGAGAATCTGAATCATTATTGTGATGTTGTCTAACATCATGTACGAGTCCTTTTAAATAAAAATCCTGAGATGGGAGCAAAGAGAAGAAGAATTAAGGCTAGATTAAAGAAACTACGAGTTTGAGAATGAGTGTAACATATCCCCTAGTTGTCCTGGCCTTGGATCCCTACCAACATCAAATGGAACCTGCACGTTTCGAATATATATGACACTCATCCCTAAGTTTAAACAAAAAGAACAATGGTCATATAGGAGAATGATCCAGTTTTCCTCTAACGATGCCTTGGAAGATGTGTTTAACAAAGTCAGTGCCATGCTTCTGTAATTTTCAGTTGGTTGTCTGTGCAGAAACCGCCCGCTTCATGGTGGGCAAAAGAGAAGAAGAAGGGATTACTCGAAGAGGGAAAAAGGGGAACAGGCTCACAACGTACATGCTATCACTTAAATTTGGAAATCAGATGATTAGAAATTTGGAGGTAAGACTGTGTATCTTAAGCTCGATACCTTGATAAAGCTTAATTTGTTGATTTTTTTTTGAAAAAATATGTGGAATCTAATAAAACATTTATAAAATCATCATATTGCCTCTTGGGTACACCTTTTGCTGATAAATTTACCTTCATTGACGCTTGTTCTGATGTTTTTTTAGCCAATGATGTTTATTTGCTTCAGAGTCGGGGCTGTGCACTCTTAAGCATTGATGCATCACCGACTTTACTTGCAAAGGCGAGACTGACAAGTGACAATGATGGCAGGTGCGCTTTGCGGTTAGAATATCAATTTAATTTAATGGGTGTTCATGCCTGCAATCTTGCATCGAGTTGTTAAGCAGTTGGAAATGCGACTTTAAAATTTAAATGCAAATGTGCACGAATTTGAGTACAAATTCAACCAACAAAAACGTGCATGTCTAAACTCTAGTCTGGGTCATTGTCAACTCCGTATAATTATCTCGTCTATGATGTGGTAATAGGCTACAAAGATGAGATCATATGGAATTACAAACCGTTTCTAGTTGAAAGTACCGATGCAGTTTCAGCCGCTCTTTTTGGTCTTGATGATTGTTTGTAGCTAAAATAATGTGCATTTTTGTGATGACTGCAGAGGCTACCTTTCAGTTATAATACATAATATAAGGATTCCCTTATCTAACTCTCTCCTATTTTCTGCCGTATTAGAGAGCTGTTGCATGGGACATGCTAAAAGTGTATGATAATTTTGTTGAAGCACAAGAAAAACGAAGGTCAGTGCTGGAAATGTTGTTGGCCAGGACAACTGAACGTTCCATTGTTTTTTTAATTAGGTCATCCGATATCCGTTTAATTTACCTAACCCTCTTTTGGCGCTCTTGTTTCCTTCAATCTATGACCTTTTGTTAGAAAGCCTCTACTTCTGTTATATTTACATAAGATAGTTGTGTCTCTAGGATCGAGCGTTTAGAGTTGTTTGACGAATTTGAAGAGTGGCACATGATGCAGGCAAGTCCATCTCAATCTTATTAACTCAATTTTACTTTTGGTTGATGCTTCACTTGAGAGAATTGTGGGTGAACATTTGATTATAGTTTTGATTTACAACAGGAACATTACTGTGTCACGTATGCTGTCAATGACGCAATGGTACGTACATGAGACATACTCTCAAATGTTGTTTTTAGTTCATTATGATGGGGTTTGGGGAAAAGTGTTGGTAAAGAGCGTTCTGCTTTGGGAAGGGGATATTTGGGGAATTCGGTTTCACAAGAGGAGGCAGTGAAAACATCAGCATCTCATCTGCAATGTCAACATGAAAAAGAGGAGAGAAGGGGTCAGGGGTCTTGCCTTGCATGGCCTTATATTAAAACCATCCGTCTGTTTCTCTTTAGCCTCGGGACTGTTTCTGTGGCGCTGGCTGTAAATTTTATTTTACCATCGCTTCTCTTTTACTTGTTCTATAAACATTCGAGGACTAACTTGACCCTGGAGTCCTTTGTTCAGCCTATAAATCTTCTTTCTAATCATAAATAAATAATTAAAAAAGGAAACACAACTAGTCGGCTAGAGAGAGGTGCAGTGCAGACCCGTGGGCCAAAGTGGGCTTCCAAGTGGGTGAGCCCAATTCGGCAATGCTTTTGACTAAATGTGGCGTTGACGTTGACGACGTACACCGCACCCAACGACCGCCAAACTCTGAGTACACTTTCCCTTTCTCATCCTCCTTTTTTTTTAAGTCTCATGGCGATGCTTTCTACTCCGGAGACGGTGATGAACATGGACGCATCTGCATCTGCTTCTCCAGAGGTGGTCGTTTCCGATCCGTCACCATCGTCCCCCGACGGATCGCGCTCCAGCGGCTCACCTGATCACACCTCTTCTCCAAGCCCTAGTCGTGGTGGCGAAAACCAGGTGCTGATCTGATTCATTTGATTTGAATTTTGAGTATGCCTTGTATTCTGATCTGGATTTCTTCTTTTTGTTTTTGTTTTCCGGAAGTCTGAAGTCATATCGAGGAGTGAAGAGTATCGGCAATTATTTCGGCTACCAGCTGAAGAAGTACGTAATTTATTTGTTTGCTGCTAACTATCAGGTGACCAATTTGTCAATGTGTAGGTCCTTGTTCAAGATTTCAACTGTGCTTGTCAAGAGAGTATTCTTCTCCAGGTAAACTTCTAATTAGTGATGGTATGTATCTCTTTCATCTCTCTCAACATCTCTGACCCTTTTTTTTTTTTGCAGGGTCATATGTACCTCTTCATTCATTATATCTGCTTTTACTCTAACATCTTTGGCTATGAAACCAAGGTACTACTCTCTTCTCCTTCGTTTCCTGACTCTTTTGCTTTAACGTGAATGCTCTCTTTTCGCGTTCCAGAAAATTATTCCATTTGCGGATATCTCTTGTGTTAAACGTGCAAAGACTGCTGGTATTTTTCCCAATGCCATTGAGATTTTAGCTGGAGGGAAGAAGGTAGGCTCATTACCATCTCCTCTCAACTCCATTGTCCTTGTTTCCCCTCTCCTGATTTTTCCTGTTTCAGTACTTTTTTGCGTCCTTCCTTTCCCGTGATGAAGCTTTCAAGCTTATCCATGATGGATGGGTTGAATATGGCCGTGCTGTCAAATCAGAAGGCCAGATTCAGGTTTCCAAACCACACTTGGCAAATACACTGCTTACCGCTTCTTTATTTATGCTCATCTTCCTCACCTTTACTCTTCAGGATTCTTTTTCTGAGTCCAACAACGATGGAGTTGTTAATAGGCCAATCAGTACTTTGGATTTGGCGACTGAGCTAGATTCCCCTTCAAGGTACTCTTTTTACCTTCTATATGCTTTACCTGCTTGCTGTAACTAGCTGCGTCATGGCTCACTATCCTGCACTTCACAGGGTTGAAACACCTCATCTTTCAGGCAGTTCCAGTGTTCCTGTTATTAGTCAGAATGGCGTTTCACCTTCATCTGTAACTCTTCAGCGGCACACAGAACCAGTTGTAGATAGTGTGGCCTCTTCTTCAACCAATATCTTGAACTCGAAGCCAGAAGACTTAACTGCACCAAAATGTAGTTTAACTCCTTCCTCGCCTTTATTTTAGTTTTGTCCGGCAATGTCTTTGGTTATCATTTTCACCTCAACTGTTTAAGTTTCTGAATGCTAGTGTTTTCAGTAAGCTCAACGGGGATTTTGTTTTGCTAGTATCATGTCCAAGTGTTGGTAGATACTAGATAGTATTAAGAATGCAGACGCTTGGGTTTCTCCTAATTTGAGGAAGAAGTGCTGGTTCACTTAAATTGGACATCCATAATTATCTTCATTCTGTTTCGACGTGTATGTTTGTATGTGTCGATTTTTTAGATTGCTGTTTTGACCTTAACTGACTTTGCTTGAAAATTCAATGGTCAATGGATAAACCGTCTCATAATGGTTTTACTGTATAGGGCCTACCGGAATGGGGTAGCTTAGCTATTTTCTTGCCTCTAGGTGGTACTTCACATCACATGTTACACTAGTTCTCATTTTGTCACCTCGCACTCAATTTGGAGACCCTATTTCCTGCTGATCCAGATTTTTTGTTGATGCATGATCTCTCATCTACCTTTTTTTGGTTACTGTGATCTCTTTTCTTGTTATCTTTCGAACTCGCCATTCATTTTTATGTTCCTTGCATGCAGTATCATCTGATTTTACAAAGGTGGCAGAGGCAAAATTTCCGGTAATGTCACATTTTTTTGACCTATGATAAAATTATGTAACGATGGTCATTCAAATTTAAGAGAATATAAGCATTAACTGAAACCAGAAGTTTCATATGTGTTTTAACAGAGTTTTCTTTATGTTTGCAGATTCCAGTAGAAGAGTTCTTTAGATTGTTTTTTTCAGATGGCGCTGTCAGTTTTGTTGAATCTTTCCATAAAAATTGTGGAGATAAAGGTAAGTGATAAGTGATGGAATCATTTTGCTGCTGGTATTCGTACATTTCTCTCTCTACCGGGGTACTTTTTGATAACCAAAAGAGACATTTTTATTTGCAGAGTTTAGGTGTAGCTCTTGGGAACCTCATGAAAAGCTTGGACACACTCGCAATGTCTCGTTTCAACATCCGATAAAAATATATTTTGGTAATATTTGTCTTTCCTTTTTGATAGATTTCAGTTACATTGTATATCAAATATGGGTATGCATGATTTTTCGATTCCTCTCAAAGGTGCAAAGTTTGGTGGCTGCCAGGAGTCACAGAAATTTCGGATGTACAGAGATAGGTATTTATTAGAATTACTGCTCTATTTGGAAGCGAATCACTTTTTAATGATCGTGCAAATACATTCTTATTCCCTGTTGTCTGATATTGTCATTGTTTTGCCAGCCATCTGGTTATTGAAACATCGCAAGAGATCACCGATGTGCCTTATGCAGATTACTTTACGGTCGAGGTAGGAAGAAATTTTTCATATACAGTACTGCTGAATGATTTGTGTTAAAGGTGGATATGTTTACCTTTGCCTTAATCCAGGGGCTCTGGGATGTGAAAAGAGATTGTAGAGACTCGATAGAAGGTTCTATACTGGATGTGTATGTCAATGTGGCCTTCTCTAAGAGAACAGTGTGGAAAGGTTTGTTTGGCATAATTTCTTCTTTGGTTTGTCATTGAACGTTTTCACCGTGTTTTTTATATTCATCTCTCAGGCACTCAGTATTCACGGTTGTAGGATCTGGCCTCTTATGATTGATGCGTTTATGAGATTTTGCAGGAAAAATAGTACAGTCAACTTTGGAAGAGTGTAGAGAGGCTTATGCAGCATGGATAAGAATGGTACTTATGTAGCCATTGGGTCTGACATTTTTTTTTCAGTTAATACAGGCTCCTAAACTAGTTTATATTTCTTTTATGATTATACTTGGAGGCACATGAACTGTTGAAACAGAAGAAGCTGGAGAACCAAGAAGGTTTGTGGTATTGAGTGATGATTAAGAGAAGCATCTTTCCCAAAGTAGAAAGCTGGCTAACAACTTATTCTGACACAGGTATCAAGTTGAGTGAGGATGGTGCGGTGCTATCAGCAAGCGAAGAAAGAGTATCTGAATGTGAAGAGCAGAGGGTGGAGATAGCGGGAGTAAGAGGAGGAGGGATAGTGAATATTTTAAGGGAATTATTGGTGAATGGGACATCATTTGTGAAGAGGCAAAGCGGGACAAGGCATGCTTTAGTAATAGCGTTTGCAGTGATCCTTCTAATGCAGGTAATTAAAAAAAAAAAATAACGAAAGTAAATGCAGTGTTTGTTTTCTAATTTATGGATTAAAAATTGGTGTGGTGTGAGAGAAATAAAGAGAGAAGATGCTGATAAGTGGAAAGTGTGGACACAGGTGACGATAGTTGTGCTTCTGAAGAGAGGACCGGAGCAAGTGCAAATGGGAAGTGAATACTACAGCAGCTACGACAAGAGTGGAATCGGGGAGAGTGTTGGATGGTTGGAGAAGAGAATGCATTTCTTGAGGGAGGAGATGATAATGGTTGAGGAAAGGTTGCAGAGGATGCGACAAGACCACGCTGCCTTGAAGGCTCAGCTCCACCAACTGGAACGCCTCCTTCTCCGCCACCAACAATGAGATAATATACAGATACGACTCTTTCTGCAGGCGGATTTGTATGTATATGTCTGTATGTATCATGTATTAAGCATTGTATTTTCGGATGTTAGTTTGCAAAGTTACACCCACGGATATTATGGATCAGTGTTGTAAGTATTTGACAAATTGTTTGCTTCTCAACTGCAAATCTTTTTATATTGCTGACTTTTATATTTGCAAATATTTTTGGTAGACGAGACGAGTTTCCCAATCCATATTTGACATCTACCAGAAAAAAAGTGGGTTTTGAATACAACGGGTGAATATTGTTAGATAAGGAGACAATAATATCGTTGTCGACATAAAAAGCATAATGCTGGTAAGGAAATGTTGATATGCAAAGAGCAATATAAAGCGACCAAAGGACCAATGAGCTTAATAACATACGAAACGAGCACAAGTGAAGCGAAAGAATATAGTTACTTACGACCAACCAAGTCTAAAGCCAAGCACTAATCACTTGATGGAACTCAAATGTCAGTGTTCGCAAAAGATCCCTAAGGTCTAATGGAAAAGGGAGCATTAGCCGCAAATTATAAGAATGGCTCTCTGATGGATGCCAACATCGCCATGAAAGCCTGTTTGTAGCATCTTTTGCACTAGTCTCCATGAAAGGAACTCCAATTTCATCGGCAACCAGGAAGGTACTAGAATTCATGAGGAAAGCAATTATACAGTTGGATGACTACAAAACTTGAGAAGGAGAGTTGGTAAACAGAGAATGGATTTGAACGGCTCTGTTTCCAACCAGGAGTTTGTTCACATTGTCAAACCATTGTCCATTACGATACCAACGCTCATTTAAGATTCATTGGCAAAAAAGAGTATAGGAGTGGCACTCAAGCTAACAGAACAAGAGAGTAGCATGACTCTGAGTAATAGTAATGAGCCAGAAACATGTTAAGAAAAGAAAAAAAATTCAGGCAGCAAGTCGAGTGATTTCTTTCTCTAAATAGGCTTGATCTTGAAGTGCAGGGAGATGAGCGAAAAAACAAGACATTTCAAGTCCTGCAACCATGATTGTTTCAAAAAGGATATGTTAGTTGAGCAAAAAAAGATTAACTAGAGATGTACTCTCACATACAAACATTATCAATCAGCTGATAGGAGAACAACATCAGAATAGGCAAAATTGAAGTATATCCAAATTGATTGATGATGGTAAAAGAGAGAGAAGTGAGACCTGAACAAGATAGTAAAAGATGCGAAGACCTTCAGGATCATCACTGCTCTGGACATCAACGAGAGAACCAATCTTAGATGTAGCGAAGGAGATATGCTCGTTACCCATAACGATCTCAAGCTCTTGCCTTCCAACACGGTCAGGTTCCGGCCACTTAAAATCATCTTCTTTCATTATCTACCCAGAAAATAAAATAAATCACGAGACGGTGACAAACATATAGCAAGTGCGGAAGCTCATGTAAAAAATCATCCATAAGATGATAAATATATTTCCTATTGAACATAAAACAAAACACTAATCGAGTTAGGCTAGAGCGGAATTAGAACCAAATCTAATCTGAGGAGGAGTTACCTCGCTCTCGGAGACGATACGCTTGCATTCCTTGAGAAGGGCGGGGGTGAGAAACACTTCCTTGCGGATCATCGTATCGTTCTTGTAGTTTGAGTTGTTGGCGTAACGGAGCTTACCGTCCGGCCTAAACTCGAACTCCAGGAACTCGTGTCCAAATTTACCCTTGTGCCCCACATAGTACCTCAGGTAGAACTCGTTTTCTTCTTCCCCGCCCATCATCATGCCCTCTCTCCCGATTTTCTCTTCTGCCCTTTTGTTTTTTTCCCCCAAAAGAAAAACAAAACACATCTCTATATATATATTCATGGGCTTAGGTTTCAGCCCGATTAAATAAATTATAGCCCACCCTGTGTACACAGAGAAATTCAGGCCCATTTAAAAGTAGTTTCTGTGTCCATCCAAATCGGAATCGTCTGCCTGATATCGATCTAATACCGACCGAGAAGGAAGTTGCACAGACGGACGATTCCGACGGATACCAAAATGACCAAGTTTCTTCAATCCTATGGTAGTTAGTTTAGTTAGTTGATTGTTCATTTTTTTCGTTTTTAAATTGAAAACTTTTTGATTATGTTGTGGTGGGGAGCAGGATATGATCTGATTCTGGGAGCTATAGCTGCAATTTATGTGCTCATGGCACCATACACTAAGGTGGAAGAGAGCTTTAACGTACAGGTCGGTACCTCCTTCTTTTCATTTGCCAGTCTCTACTCTCCCTTTTTCTTTTTTTTTTTTTACTGAGAGACGTCTGAATTTGCATGTGACCAGTCAATGCACGACATTCTTTACCATCGCCATCGTTTGGAATCTGTGAGTGACCTCTTCTTCTTCTTGTCTGAAGCTTATGGCATGTTTGAATTGCAAGTGTTTTACTGAGTGTTTTATTCCCTGGTGTCAGTATGATCATTTGGAATTCCCCGGTGTTGTCCCTCGAACTTTTATTGGTAAAGCACTGTTGGATTCTTCTACTGTCATTCCTTTTTTTTTTTTTATGTTTCTTTATTATTGACTAAAAAATATTTGATCTGTTCGTGCAGGAGCCTTCATAGTCTCTTTTTTTGCATCACCCGTTGTCTCCATTATCACCTGCCTTGGCTTCCCTAAGATTTATAGTCTTGTTGCAGGTTTCTCTTCTTCTTCTTCCCTTTTTTTCCCTTGGATTCTCCCTAATGGAATCGTTTGTCTTCTTAAATTTTAAACTACGCATTAAACCAATTGTGTTTCTTATATAGCTCGTTTGGTGCTGGGCTGCATCATATTATCCACACTAAGATTTTTCCGGATTCAGGTATCAATTTTATTTGCTAGTTAGTAAGTTGCTCTACTGCTTTTTTCCATTCTCCACTTCTCACTCTGATTCTTTGTCCTCCCCATGTCTTCGGTATTGGGATATCTCAGATGCACCTTGAAGATTTGTTTTTCTCCTGTATACTGACCATAATTTACCTCCTTCACAGATTAGAGAAAAGTTTGGACCTCAAGTGGAATCTTTCTTTGTACTTCTCACCGGTCTTCAGTTTCATTTTCTTTTCTACTGCACTCGTCCTCTACCTAATATTCTAGCTTTGGGATTAGGTGATTAATTTTATTCATATAACTCCACTAGTCAGTCATGTCCTTCAGATGTCCCACCCATGTCCCATTTGTCATAGCTCGCGTTGGCTGCTAATGTTGTGAAATGAAATCTCGGTTGTGCAGTTAATCTGGCATATGGTAATTGGTTAAAGGGAAACTTTTATTCCGCTTTGAGATTCCTGGTATGTAGTTTTTCTGTTAACATTATTTCCTGATTATAATAATCGTCATGGCCTCCGCTGACATGTTTTTCATCTGATAACCAGATTTTTTCCACTGTAATCTTTAGATGCGATGTGATGTTACTGCTCGGGCCTATCGGTCTTGAGTTTTTATTGGTGAGCTGATGATGAATAGTTTAGTTTCTTAACTTCTGTATGTGTACTTTTCTGTTTCCTTCTCATGGGGGTGCTTTACGCTTATCAATGACAGACCAGGTCGATCTCCTTCTGGAAAGCACTTAAGTATTGTGTTGTAACCGCTGTGCTGGCTGTAGGTTTGTTAAAGTTCCCCTCAATTCTGTGCTCTATTTGCATTTTTCCCTTAGGACTTTAGTTTCCTTTTCGGGCTTTTTGAGGTCATGGAAATTATCTTAGCACAGGTCTTACCATTTCCGTTGACTCTATCATGTGGAAGAAGTTTGTCTGGCCAGAATTTGAAGTTTTCTGGTTTAACTCCATTCTGAACCGGAGTTCTGAGTGGGGTGTATCCTTTAAAATTTGTTTATTTTTTGTGTATCATAGATCACTTTCTAGCATCTGTTCCGCTGCCTGATTAGAGGATTCCCTTCTTTACAATGATATCCATTTACATTTCCATACACAGTGTAATTTCCTATGAAAAAATTATTTTGCTAATATTGTGGCCTTGCCTTTTGTTAAATTCTATGTTTTTCCTTGACAACTACTTGCTAAACCAGACACATTCCATTCATTGGTACTTCACCTCGGCACTCCCACGATCATTGCTAGTAGCTTATCCTCTTTCCCTGGTAATTACTTGACCTGCTAACACCTCTCATATTGTCTTATTCCCTTCGAGTTGGGATATCTGATTGTATCTGTAAAATGTTTTTTTTTTCATTTGTTTTCTTTTTGGATTATACAGCTTGGTACCTTACTTGACAGGAGGGTTCCATTCCTTATTCTCCCGGTTTTATCCTTTGTTATACTCTACTCTAAACTTCCACACAAGGTATTCAGATGGATTACTTATCTTAGTAGCCATTAAAGTTTCTTAGTTATTTGCTGACAGAGGCTTACCTATGTATCTTGATATATGCAGGAACTCCGCTTTATTATTAGTTCAGTGCCAATGCTCAACTTATCTGCTGCAGTTGCTGCTAGCAGAATGTATGAGTTCTATCAGATGTTTCCTAGCTAAGCTTTCAATCACAGCTAGAACGTTCTTTTTTATTCAGTCACTCAAGTGCCCTTGTGATACGTATTGTTTCTGAATGCCATTTAATATTACTACCAACAAGGCCTGAGCTCGTAATGTAATCCGATTTCTTATACAGCTACAATAACAGGAGGAAAACTATTTGGAAATTGGTGAACATGGCAATGCTAGCATTATTTTTAATCAGGTAGAAAGAGTAGGCAATTATCTTTGCTACGTAAGAGAAGAAAAGGGATTTGCTAGCTTACTTAATACTGTCCTATAGTGCAGGGTGCACGATTGTAACATTCATGGCATCTTACAACAACTATCCAAGCGGCTATGCTCTTAAGCACTTGCATCAGATAAGTGAGTGACTTTTCTTTCAGGGGTTTCTTGTTATTTCAGCTGCGTTTACTAGGGTATCAAACAAGAAAAATTTGCTAGGCAGCGTTTACTAGGCAATTACCATCCTTTTTGGTGGTTGATAGATAATTTGCCTACAATATGATTAATTTTACGTGGCGCCTTGCATGTTTCTCAGGCCATCCTGCAAATGTAGAGTGGGTTCACATAGACACTTTTGGTGCTATGAATGGAATATCTCGCTTTTGTGAAGAAGCTTTTCCGTGGAGGTGAGTGAGGTTGGTTCTTATATCTGTGTAGGTATTAGGAGGAGATAAAAGTTTTATATTGTGCAACGCAGATACTCAAAAGAAGAAGAGGTGGTGGTGGAGGAGTTGAGAAACAGGAATTTCACGTACCTTGTGAAGTGAGTAGTATTTTCATTATCAGAATAGAAAGCAAAAATCTTAGTCACGGACATCTTATAAAGGTGTCATGCTTTGAGCAGCGAGCACCCCTCTGTGGATGGATACAAGTGTTTGTTTTCTGAACAAGGCTTTGAGAGAGTCGAACTGCGGCGAGGTTTCCCTCCCATTGTTCTGGTAAATTGGGTTGGGGAGAATTAACATTAAATCAGAATTGAAATGGAATGTTGGAGTTAAAAATGTTGAGTTTGCAGGTAAAAAGAGCGAAAGTATACGTGCACGGGGATATGAAGAAGGAAGATCATTTACACAAGAAATGGCCAGGATGTTAGAGACATGGTTTCGGGTCGATGCTGGAGCACAGTTTTTTTTTTATCCCGACGAGAGAGGAGTTTGATGTAACGATAACCGATATTTTACGATAGAGTGTGTGTGTAATAATAATAAAGAGATTGATTGATGGATTGAAAACCGTATGAATGAATGAGAATGATTCTCCGCGTCCGTCTTTGGGTTATATATTAGGTTGGGCCTTTGAGTTGAGTCCAACTTCAGTGTAATTACCAAGTTACCCCTCTGTCTTTCATAGCCATTTCGCCTTATCGTCAGACACAAAAAAGACTGTAGAAAGTAGAAACCAAACCTAACGAAAGAGAGAGAGAGAGATGCTGCTTCAGGCGGTACAGAACCGCAATGTTCCGCTGGCTTCCTCGGCCTCCTATTGTCGGCTCCCTGACTCCAGATTACCGGTCGTCGTCTCTGTAGCTCCAGTAAAGAATAAGAAGAAGAAGATGGGAATCGTGTGCTGCATCTCGCAGGTGTATGGGTACGGAACTGTGGACTACGAGAGAAGGCCGATAATCCAGTGGAATGCCATCTACAAGAAGATATCTCTCATGGAGAAGCCGGAGCTCGGGGCAGCCTCCGTCTTGAATCAGTGGGAGAAAGGCGGCCGTAAGCTTACCAAGTGGGAGCTCTGTCGGGTCGTCAAGGAGCTGCGCAAGTATAAGCGTCCTAACCAAGCTCTTGAGGTAGTTAGTAGCTCTCTTTAGTAATCCTTTCTTTCTGTTTTAGTATTGACCATTCCCTTTTCCCTTTTCCAGGTGTACGACTGGATGAACAATAGAGGCGAAAGGTTTCGATTGTCTGCAAGTGATGCTGCCATCCAGCTCGACCTAATTGGCAAAGTCCGAGGCATTTCTGACGCCGAGGACTTCTTCCTCACTCTCCCTGACAACTTTAAGGACCGGAGAGTCTATGGCTCCCTCCTCAATGCCTATGTGAGGGCCAAGTCGAGAGACAAAGCTGAGGCCTTGCTCGACACTATGAGGCAGAAAGGCTACGCCCTCCACCCTCTTCCCTTCAACGTCATGATGACTCTCTACATGAACCTTCGCGAGTACGACAAAGTCGACGCTATGGTCTTCGAGATGAAGCAGAAAGATATTCGTCTCGACATTTACTCCTACAACATCTGGCTCTCCTCCTGCGCCTCCCTTGAGCAATTGGAGCAAGTGTATCAGCAGATGAAATCTGATGTTTCCATCAATCCCAACTGGACCACTTTTAGCACCATGGCCACCATGTACATTAAGATGGGCGATACCCAGAAAGCTCAAGATGCTCTCAGGAAGGTTGAGGCCAGGATTACTGGTCGCAATCGTATCCCATATCACTACCTCTTGAGCTTGTACGGCAGCGTTGGTAACAAGCAAGAGTTGTTCCGGGTGTGGAATGTCTACAAATCTGTTGTACCCAGCATTCCCAATTTGGGATACCATGCTCTGGTCTCCTCCTTGGTGCGGATGGGAGATATTGAAGGCGCCGAGAAGGTATATGAGGAGTGGCTTCCAGTCAAGTCCTCTTATGACCCCAGGATACCTAACCTTCTTATGAATGTGTACGTTAAAAACGACCAACTAGACAAGGCTGAAGGCTTGTTCGACCACATGATTGAAATGGGGGGAAAGCCGAGCCCAGGTACTTGGGAGATTCTAGCCGATGGTCACACCAGGAAGAGGAGTATCACAGAGGCTTTGGCTTGTCTGCAAGAAGCTTTTTCTGCGCAAGGGTCCAGCAATTGGAGGCCCAAGGTGTTGGTGCTGTCAGGCTTCTTCAAGCTCTGTGATGAGGAGTCGGATGTTACTAGTAAAGAGACGGTTTTGGAATTGTTGAGGCAATCGGGCCACCTTCAAGACAAATCTTACCAAGCTCTTATTGATAATGATGGGGAAGAAAATGATGAGACCGATGTACTTGTAACGCAGCTGCAAGATGATGATGATTTGTAATACTGTAATAATAGGATTGATTTAGACCTTGCTAGCGAACCGGAATCAAAATGATCACCTAAATTACAGTTTATGAAATTTGCTTTCTTGCGTCGCAATTAAATGTTTGCTTTGCTCTTTTAGTTTGGGCCGGACTGAAAAAGGCCTGCCACTAGACAAAACCTTTTATTTAAAGGCCCATTTGATTGAGAAGATAAAATTCACTCCACGGAGAAAGACGGTGAAGGTGGGGGAAATGGCGACGAAAGGCGGGGCGGCGGCGGCGTCTGCATACCCTAGCGCGGCTCGGATATCTGATTCTCCATGTTACCATCAGTACTCTGCATCTCTGAAATGTGAGTCACGCTCTCTCTCGATTGAATCATGTTACTACTGCACGGACGGAGGATTTGTAACTCGTTTTCTCCCAATTATATTTATCATGAATTCTGTTACTTTAAGTAGGCCTCATCTCGTCTATTTGAGGAATATGTTCCCTCCTCAAGTTTAATAGTGTGTTGAGTAGAGTTTAGTTTCATGATCTTTATTAGATCCCATCATCTATTATAAGGTGGGACAAATTTCATGATGAAACCCATAGGTCTTGAAGAATTTGGATCAGACAAGAGTAAATGCCAGGATCATTTTGATGTGTACAAGGAATGCAAAAAGAAAGAGGTTCTTGTGATTTTTACATTCCAACTTCTCTGCTTGTATATTATGTATATATATATATATATATCAATTTCTGATTGCATTTTTCTCTGCTCGTCTATCAGAGGGAAGCTCAATTGGAACGCAATAAGACACGGTCATTGTTCTCCTGACTCCTGAGTGCTCAGCACAGTATGGATCCTCAAATGCTTATGACGTCCAAGAAAATAAATCGTCTAGTTTCCTCTTATTCCATTTGACTCTGAGAAGTGTTGTTTTGTGTTTCGCATGCTGTTATAAATAATCATTCTCAAGTGGAAAGTGTGTGTAAACATTACTTTGACTCACGCCTACATGTTACTTCTTTTTTGTACCACACCTACATGTTACTTTTAAGGGAGACTACTAGTGATGGACTTATATTACGATATGTTAATGGTGATCGACTCTTGCTCACGCGTTCGAATAATAATTTTACCGCCAGCAGGCACCCTCCTCGGGCGTCTACATGTTCCTCACCCTCATGGCAGGTAGAGGGGCTGTGATATGTGGTATTTCTTACCGTTACTCTCGCCTCGCCAACTACGCCAAGTGCATGCCAGACCTTCTCATTATCAAGTTCAAATTACCCCAGATTCCACTATCATGCTCACCACCGGTATCTCTTTCTATCTATTTATCCCCTGAAACTCTACTCCGCTCTTGCTGCTTGTAAACTACATAGATATATATATCCTTGAAACTTTCATTCCTATGTTAGTATTCCTATATAACAATTGTCTGATTAGCTCCCTCTTCGAGCCTGGTCAAAAAACGCATTCCAATATATCATTTCAGCTACAACAGGTGGACTCACTTGTCTTTCATTATTCAGGTCAAAGAAACTACCCGGTGACGAAGTTGTCTAAAACACACAAAAGGAAGACAAAAAGTATGCCGAAAATGCTGTTGAGAAGACGCATACAAATCATGTGTGCGTCGTTGCTGCAAGAAAAAGCACTTCCGCTGTAGCAGCCTTTTCTTTGTTTGATACCCCGGCCATTTGCTTCAAGAGCAAAGGAAGAGTTTGTCCCACCATCACTAAAGAGAACGCACCAAAAGTAGGCATGTTTATGCAACCTAGCCATTCCCACTCCAACCTCAGTATGCGATTTGTTTCTGAGCACCAGCAAGGATTTGTTATCTCTGAAGAGAATGTCCGTGAAGGAGGCTTCTGGCGTCGCATAGTGGGTGCCGCAGCCGATGACATGGCCTGTTATGGTACCAAAAGTGGGAAGTTCTACACCACAGTTAGGGGCAAAAACCTGAGTGAAGTCGTCTTCAGGGGGTTCGCAGGTCAAAGTGGAGTTGACATTGCAATTACCCTCGCAGAGCTCAGCATACTGGAGGGCTATGCAGCCAAGGCCAGGGCTCTCATGTAGTTTGCCAAGTTTCCAGGCTGTTCTATTCTGGTTCAAGACGCTCACCATTTCACTAGCTGGGTTTCCTGCAACAAATTCTAACACTCAGGAGTTATGAAAACTTTTTTATTATATTTGTCTAGATACTTTTCTACTTCCTCTATATATATTCTTTAACGGAACTATTTTAGGTATGGAATCAACATAATAGTCATCTATCATACAATCTGATCCCGAAAAGGAGAAAAGGGGCTAAATTGTGAAAGACAAATCCGAGTCTAGCTAGGAATCGCATATGTTTATATGAGAAGTTTAAACAGAAAAGGAACCGAGTACCGTGACGTTTGGAGCTAGCCAGAAATGAAAGTGAGAGCAGTAAAATCGACATCAAAGAGCTATTTTCCTTCTTCATTTCGGGAAACTCTTATTGTCCTCTCTCCTCTCGTGTGGATGCTGTATTGTATCCCTCTACGGAAGTTCGGGTAAAAGAGAACCCAAGAAAGAAAATTCATGGAGTTGTGGCCCCTCCCTACTTATTGTTTTCCGAAATAAATAAACCGAAAAAAGGCATTTCACATATTGGGCTTTGATGTAAAGCTCGCTCATACTCGAATTCACTGAAGGTACAAGAGAAAGGAAGTAGAAATATTTCATTTACTTCACTAAATGGGAGACGTTTGGACAAATATCAGTTAGTTTAATTTTTTGATCAAATTATTGACAGCTGAGTCGCACCATTTTTTCCTCTAAATTCCTCATTATTATTGAAGAAATCTATTTATATAAAGTCGGCCGCTGGTGAGTCAACACATCTCACACTTACAAAACAATTATTCAGTTCTGTTAATGTTTCAAATGGACTAAGACGAGTGTATTTTATGTGGATTTGAGTATAGTTTTTGGGGCTGAACACAAACATAAACTTGGTCCGTACAGCGATTTAATCTTTTAGACTTATAACCGGCCATCATCTCTACGGTTCATTCTTTCTGCATCATCTGATTAGGTCTCCATCTGTAATTATCGCATCTATGTCGATTCATGTGCTTCGTTATAGATTCATCTCCTCACAAGCGTTGCAACCTACGTTGACTCAACGCCTTTAACAATCATTCATTCAATGATTTTTACGCCTCTTCCGAGAGGTGTATCTACACCTATAAAAAACGTAAACCTTCATTCCTGAGATTCATCTTCACACTTCCAATAGCAACATCAATCTCTTTCTCATTTTAATGGTTTACTCCTCTGTTCAACCTACTGATTTGAAGGAGTGGCTGTTGTTCTTCCACCATGGAGGTGACTGCTAAGATTCTGAAAAAAAAACTAACCACTTCTAAAAACCTTAATTCGATTGTTTACAGGTTAAGACCCGTTTCCGGATTACTTTGTTTCCATCTCTCAAGGAATTATTAGTCGATGTCTGCTCAAAAAACTCTTCAAGTTCCTTAATTGTTCTAACCCATACCCGTAAGTTGTTGTATCGGGTTTGGAGTGAATTTCGTTAACTAGAATTCAGTCAGATGATACTAGAGTTATCTGGGTTATGGAAGAAATGCAGAAAGCTAATGAAATTGAGTCTGAAATCATGTGGAACCATTGGAGAAATAGATGCCTAATGTTTGTATCTGTAGAATCTTCAAGAGACTGAGCTTAGGACATGTAGAATTGTATTTTTATAAGGACAAGAAGTATTATTGATGTGGTTCTGTTGAAAGTTTCCGAGATTTGTGAATATCACAAGTCTCTGTTGATATATGATGGTAAGTAAAAAAATACATTTTTGTTCATTTCATAACAATTCTAGATGCAATTATACATTGAAGATGTTAATTCTAGCTCATTTTTTCTATTCATCTAACAATCAAAGTTTATTTGTAAATAGGAAACATGAGAAGTTTATTCAAAATTAAGTGAAAGGTTAGACATGATATATGTATCTTACTTATTAGAACGTGTATCCCCCAACAAAGATAATTGATCTGGTGAGAACTAGTCTTTGGCCCAATCTAATAAATCATGGATCTCTAATCAATCTATATATTCTCAGGAGACGACGAAACATTTTGAAAAAGATTATTAAGCAATTTTAACACTATAGTTTTGTTAATTGATCTTTAAATAAATATACTATCAAGTTGAAATTTTAAAAATTTCACACGGGTTAGTCCACGACCTCGAAAAATTTGGTGGATTTTGACGTTATTCTCAGGAGACGATTTCAAAACGTTTATTATGCAGTTTCAACACTATAATGTGGTTAATGGGTCTTAAAGTAAGTACACTAGTAAGGAATATATGTTTTGAAATTTTAAAAATTCACAAGGGTTAATCCACGACCTCGAAAACTTTGATGGATTTTGAGTTTATTCTCAAAAGACGACGAAACATTTTGAAATCGATTATTAAACAATTTCAACACTATAATTTGGTTAATGGGTCTTTAAATAAGTATATCAGCAAGTAATACATATTTTGAAATTTTCAAAAATTCATAGGGGTTAGCCCACGATCTTGAAAAATTTGGTGGATTTTGATGTTTTTCTCAGGAGACGACGAAACATTTGCAAAACGATTCTTAAGTAATTTCAACACTATAACTTGGTTAATTGATCTGTAAATAAGCATACTATCAAGAAACACATGCTTTGAAATTTTCAAGAATTCGTAGGGGTTAGTCTACGACCTCAAAAACTTTGGTAGATTTTGACGTTATTGTGAAGAGACGACGAAACATTTTCAAAATGATTGTTAACCAGTTTCAATAATATAATATGTTTAATGGATCTTTAAATAAGTATACTAGCAAGAAATATAATTTTTAAAATATCAAAACTCATAGGGATTAGCCCATGACCTCAAAAATTTGGTGAATTTTGTCGTTATTTTCTAGAGAGGATAAAACATTTTAAAAATGATTGTTAAGCAATTGTAACACTATAATTTGGTAAATATGTCTTTAAATAAGTATACTAGTAAGGAATATTTGTTTTGAAATTTTCAAAAATTCGTAGGGGTTAGCCCACGAGACGAATAATTTAGTGAATTTTGACGTTATTCTGAGGAGACGAGGAATCATTTTCAAAACGATTATTAAGCAGTTTCAACACTATAATGTTGTTAATGGGTCTTAAAATAAGTATACTAGCAAGAAATATATGTTTTGAAATTTTCAAAAACTCATAGGGGTTAAGCCACAACCTCAAGAAAATTGGTGGATTTTATCGTTATCCTCTAGAGACGAAGAAACATTTTAAAAATGATTGTTAAGCAATTTCAATGCTATAGATTGGTTAATGGGTCTTTAAATAAGTATATTATAAAGGGATACTTGTTTTGAGATTTTTTTAAATTCATAGGGGTTAGTCTACGGCCACAAAAAAATTGGTGGATTTTGATGTTATTCTCAGAAGACGACAAATCATTTTCAAAACGCTTGTTTAGAAGTTTCAACACTATAGTGTGGTTAGCCCACAATCTCGAAAAATTTGGCAGATTTTGACGTTATTCTATTTCAACACTATAATTTGGTTAATGGATTTTTAAATAAGTATACTATGAGAAATACATGCTTTGAAATTTCCAAAAATTCATTGGGATTAGCCCACGTCCTCAAAAATTTTGGTGGATTTTGACGTTATTCCTAGGAAACGACAAAACATTTTCAAAACGATTTTAAGCAATTTTACCATTATAGTATGGTTAATGGATCTTTAAAAAAGTATATTATTCAGGGGTTTTACCACTAAAAAGGGATATATGTTTTGAATATAAGCATATCTATACTATTATTTGCGAAGTGATTTTTCGCAATAGAGCTCTCACGTTGAAAGTTATGGTGGCTAATATCTATAATACCCTTAGTGAATTCATTATATAACTAACATATACGAACATATAACTAATTAAGTATAAATGAATACCATATTTTAATAATCATAGTGCTATCTCTATAATATAGTATACATTGTCTATCTCCTTTTCATTATGTGATTGGTTTATTTCCAGATACTTCGTTTTTACAATTATTCGTTACTATCCTAATAAGCATTGGACTTATCTTTATTAACAACACCCACTTAACCAAAGCTGTGTATATGTATATATGCTTAAGTTAACCCCATCAAAAGCTTCAAAAGCACACTTTCTAATAGCAAACCCCTTCAAGAACAAAACATACCTATATCTACGTAGGAAGCCGGCTACTTTAGTCTTTATTGATGATATTAAACCAGGGAACACTAGATACAAATTAAAAGTGCAGGTTATAAAATTGTGGAATTTGTGGAGATAAAAAAAAAGTTGTCTCCATTAAGATGGTTTTTGAAGATGGAATTGTGAATTATGCAAAGCTTTCTGAGGGTGTTGCTTATTTTATAAGCAATTTTACTCTTGTGAATTATGCAACAGAGTATAGGACAAATCCTTTTCCGTAAAAGTTGACGTTTATCGAACAACAAACATTACTCTTTGTGATGTTTTTCCTCCTTACTTGCCAAACAAGTATCTGAAGAATTTCACAGAGATTCATTCTGAGATCTTCAAGAATGATATTTTGATTGGTTAGTAACTTTTTAATTAGCATATGTATATTTAACAAACATGATTAGTTAAATTTCTTTGGCAGAACTTATTTCTTAGTTTTTTAGAAATATACATCTTTTCTGGTAAAGATGTTGTTGGTCAGATTGTTCATGTTGGTGCTCTCAATGAAATTTATGCTAAAGGGAAACAAACGACCGAACTCAATGTTATTCTTCGAGATGGAACTTAAGTACTTTTAATTTTATATTTCAGCTTTTTATTAATGTCTTCTTTCTATTAATTTGATTTGGTTCGTTTGTCTTTTTTTGTAGTGTTTCAGATTTGACTTGCACTCTTTGGGGTGATTATGGGAAACAAGTTGTAAACTATGTTGAAAAAATAACAAGTCAATTATTGTTTGTGTTGTGCGTCTCGCATGTGTTACCTGAGTATAAATGTATCTTTCATGTTTTCCCCAAAAATAATTCTCATAAAATACAGCGACAGATATATCTTTATGGCTATGAATGATGAGAGAACATTGTAGCTGTTAATTGGAGCTATCTCTTGCTGGGAGCAAAGCCTCTTGCTTTTCTTTGAAAAAGACGGGGAGTTCTTCAGGTGCAACCACCATACTTAGCCACTTCTGCATTCACGTTCTATTTTCTCTTTCTCTGCACCAAAACATGATATTTTCATCATCAGAGTCAGCCAGTTATCATATCCACCAAAATCATGCCAAGCTGTGGAGTGGAGAGGGTAATAAAAACGTTAAAAGTGTGATAAGCAGAGTTTTTTTTTTTTGGTATTAAAATGAAAACGCTATGAGATTTGCTACACACACTCAGTAGAGAGGGTAGAAGAAGTACCGCCTTTGATCGCTCGGTCACTTGAATGAAGTCAATTTTATCAACGGTACTCTTGCTCTTTCTCCAGATAGCAAGGTAGCTTCATTTACTCTTGCTCTTTCTCCAGATAAAACTGAACCTTTGATTAAATACTACAAAAGAAGAATGAAGAAGAACAAAGAGAGGAGCAGAGAACAAGCTACGAAGAAAAAAGAAGAAGAAGAGGAGACTTGAAACGCAAGAAACGGAGAAACAAATAAGAGTAAAGTAACCACAACAGGAAGTCAAACATGAGTGGGAGTAACTAGCTGACCTTGACACTCATAATTAACGGGGAGCTTATTCTTCACCGAAGGAAGTTTTCTTAACTGATGTGATCACATTATTGTTTAAGAAGATTATGCCCGCGTCGTACGCGGGCTAGCCACCTAGTTGTAGTTATAATATAAGCTACTAACTTGTTGGATCTTGCCCCCATTATTCTTTTTGTTTGCTCGGACTTATCAATGTTAAAATGTGTTATCTCTTCTCTTAAGTTTCCACGAGTAGAGCACTGCTTGGGATTGCAACAAGAGAAATACATCATTGTAATGGCTGTTTGGATCAGCCTGTGGAAAACCTAATCCCGAAAATTTTCTTCTATAAATGGAATATCAAGCTAATGCCACGAATGTAATGGGTAACCTAAATATTCAGGATCTCCAAGAGATGAATCAAGTGACAATTGATGTGTAATGTGTAACCTAAATAATCAAGGAACACCAACCAGTAGTGTGTTTGGGTTTTATATATATCATTTACAAAAAAAAAAGAAAAAAAGAGAGAGGTCTAAATTCAAATAAGTCTTCTGCACAAGGGACAAGAAGCGTGGCTGCGAAGCCATTTGTCGATGCACGGTAGGTGGAACATATGATGGCAATGCGGCAAACTTCTAACAGTATCTCCCACCTGAAAGTCCTGTAGCGTCACCACAAGCCAATATTTAATTATCTTTTCAATACTTATATATCAGCTATCTATCTCTTTGTTACACCTAAATCGAAACATCTATAGATCCTTCCAATGCCAATTCTTGTACGCTAAATTTATCATTTCCTAATAGTTAGCAAGTGAGGAGAAACCTGAAGGCAGACAGAGCAAGAGACCATCTCCCCTGAGGTGTCTGTAATGAGGACCTTTGGGATTCGGTCGAGAGAATCCCCCGTGAGCCCCTTTGAAATGGCAGTGCCGAAGATATCAGTGTGGTCTTGGAACTGTGACTCCACGGCTCCCATCTGGTATTATTACACAAAATAGGATGCTGAGAAATATAGAGAGTGAATGATGAATGAGTCATCAAACAAGGCATGCATTTACCTGACTCTGGACAGCACTAAGCATTGCAGGACCAATACGCTCGCGAACAAGCCGCCCGCTCAAAAGGCTAGCAATGACGTCAATCTAGTGAAGGGGGTGGAAGGAAAATGAAACGCGGAGAAATTCAAAATATTGATCAAAGAAAAAGAAGAATAAGAGGTTTACCAAGTAGAGAAGGCAAGCAATACCGGAGTCATCGGTTTGCCAAAGGAGGAGGGAACATTCAAGGACATCGATGGAGAAGACAGCACCAGAGATAGCACCAACGGCGGCTCCTCTGATGAAACCGGTTTCTGTTTCTTGGCCGATCAAAGCCCCTGTAAAGGCTCCTAGAAAAGTCCCCACTGCAATCAACAATTTTTTTTCTTTTAGAATGATGAATGCATAATGGGGTTCTCCTCTTCCAACATCATATCCTATATATCATTAATTGTTTTTCAAAAATTTATCTTTGGAAAATGAATAATACAGTTCTTTTTGTTTTGTTTTTTTTTCAAACCGACTGGTTCACAGGAGAGGCTGATTGATTGGTCGTAGAGTTTAGAAAGAAAAAAAAAACAAGCAAGATTGAAATGATCGGAATAGGAAGGGGAGCAACCTAGAGCGAAGAAGAAGGTGAAGAGGGCGGAGAAGAGGTTGGCAAGGATGGCGGAAACGGTGGAGTGGAAGGAATCTTTGATCCGATGGAGGAGGGAGAGAGGAGAGAGATTATAAGAATCCATTTCTTTCCGACTTGTGGAAATGTCAAAGGCGAGGGGAGGAAATGACTTTTTCGGTTTTTTTAGTTTGTTCGCCTTCTGTTAATGGACAAGAGATTACAAGGAAGGAACCTTCTTCTTCTCTCTCTGTTGACCATAATTTCTTTACATTCACTAGTTGCGTTAAACAAATTACAAGAAAAATGTATATATATATATATATGTATGACCTTCTAGGAGAGCGGACTGATATTTTCATAAAGAGTGGTTAAGACTTTGACTTTTTGGCTTTAACAAACTAAAGGAAGCAAGCACAAGATCCCACTTCTTCTTCTGACTTTTTTTTTTGGAAACCCTTTTCCTTCTTAGGCACTCTTCTTTGCTTCTTCCTTACTCCTCATTATACATGATCATCGTCCCCGTTACTTGTCTTTCCAGATAGTTTAAAAGACCAAACACTACAACACACTTTATTATACTTCTTGTAAGATATATGCGAAACACACTCAAACCATACTTCATCAACAAAATGCTCTCAAAACCATATAACAATATATCTATATTTCAACAAACGTATCTCAAGCTCTACAATGCCATCTACCCCACCAACAACCTTCTTCTACCACTACTAGTGTATCCCTTCTTCCTCTTGATTTCACACCAAACTTGTGTGACACACTCTCTTAACTAGCTCCTATTTGATGGTGTTTAACCTGCTCCTATTTTCTTCTTCTTACAAACGTGTTTGCATTTTCTTGTTGTTCTCATGGCTTTTCCATCTGCAGCAACTCTACTCTCTTCTTGATCCTGTATCCCGTGCTCAGAAACTCCAGCAGCAGAACCTAACTTGTCAGGAAATTTATGTCCTTGAACAGAATTTCCTCCTTGTGTTATTGTAGTATTTCCGTGTTCTTGAATGTACTTCCTTTTCCTTTCACAAGGTCATGGACAAGAACAACTTTAAAATAACAATAGATGATGAGACTGAGGTTGCACGCGCTGGGCAGTATCTTCTGATCTCTTCCCATCAAAGTTGTTTTTGTTTCTCAAGTTCATGATACTTCGTGTTCTTCTGTAAGTTGTTTTTGTTTCTTGGATTTCTCTGTCTCTACCTTACTCGGGGTACTGGAACTTATCTATTTCCAATTGATCCACCAGACACTATTTCCACAACCTCTATCTGCAACAAAAGCATATCCAATGATAAGGGTTCGACGAATGGATCTCTCAAAATGCATCACAAGGTTAAGGCTGATGTAATAAAAAGACGAACCTTGAGTTGAGAAAGACCTCTTTCTGCTCGATATTGTATGTTGCATGTGTTCATATCAGACAAATATTGATTTGTTGCATGTAGATTTTGTAAACAACCAACACTACATTTGTCACTTGGAGTTTTAGTGAAATGAGAAGAAGAGAAGAGATGTGTTACAGAAGAGAAAGTAGTAAGAGTTCAAGAAGGGGTGACGCCCTGTTTGGCCTTAAGGACAACCTCCTCGGTGGTGATCCCTATGATCTCGTTGGCTCGCTTCAGCCCCATGCAGTAATACCTTCCAATGGTGTCGGGAAACGATCCCCAACTTCTCTAGTTTCTGGACGGCAACGTCCACATCAAAGTAACACCTCTCACCAAACTCTTCCTTTATCAGTTCTTCACATCTCAGATCCAGATCCTATTCCCCCACATTCCCACAAACTCACGTCAGCGTTCGCTAATCATAACAGACAATACCAAAAGAATAAATATGGTAATATGTACCTTCAAGGTACTTTTCCCTGCTTCATTACGGTGAGCATCCAATCAAAATCCAAACTTCAATGTCATACAATGAACTTGCTGCCCTAATACTAACCTAAATTTCTTTGGGATGCAAGCCACTTGGCTGAAATGTAGAGGAGAGGCTGAAGGCTTCTTTAAAACTCATATCCAGATAAGCCTTCAACATCAAGTTTCATAACAGAACTTCACCGTTCCTAAATCGACAAACAAGCAAGCAAGAAAACACACAAAGAAAATGATATGTGTATTTTGATACGCTTGTGTGGCTGGTTAACTCTTTCGAGGATGAAATGGTAGTAAATGAAGGAGCTCGCATTTACAGAGAAACCGAGAGACATTGAAGACCAAGTGAAAGCGCCCACGTTTTAGGGTTCTCACATGGGCCAGAGTGATTTTTTTTTAAACCACACTTGAGGCTCATTTTTAACCTAAAGCTTATTTGACGTGGCCAAATAACTATTTTTCATTGGTCGATTTTCGATTATTGATTTTCTTACAATGCGAGGATAATAACTTTGAGAGAGAGAGAGAGAGGGGATAAACCTTTTCTCAAACCGTAGTAACGGATTCCCTAGCAAGTAATCTCCTCACTTTCCATATCCACCGTTAGATTCGAAGTTCATGATTTAAAAATCCAAGCCGCCTCAAAATGTGACCGTTGAATTTTTTATTTATTTGCCATCCTCTCCTTTCATCTCATTCCCGTAAGAAATTCTATCCCTCTATCGCTTTCTCCTTCTTCTTCTTCTCTCAGATTGATTCACCACAGCGAATAATAAAAAAAAAAGGAAAGACGTATCAAAAATAGTGAAAGGGAACGATCATGGCGGCGAGACATGCCCAAGTTAAAGGTTTTACTCCATATCTTTTATAACCCTAGGGTTTAGAGATTGATTTCGAGGCTCTTATTATAGGTTTTGATCAGTAATTTTACAGATAGTCCCGTCCATTTCAAGAACCGTCGCACTCTTTGGGATATCGGAAACCTCACTTCTCTTCCCGGAGTCGAAGGAGGAAAGATCCGTATAAACGTTTGAGATAAAAAGGTTCGTTTTTTATTTTTTTATTTATTTATTTTTTTTTGAGAAAGGGCTCTTTTTTTATTTATTTATTGCAAACCTTGTTTTCACTTTTGAGAGTGCATATGATCGTTGAATCTGACTCTGTTTTGTTGTCTCTTTTACCAAATCAGCAAATTAATCTAGACAAAAGCTTCGGTTCTTGAATCTTGATGGTGCTCTTGTACCCACGATTTGCTGATAGTTAAGGTTCGTTTTATTTTTTGGGAAATCTTGTTTCTGATCTTTCGGAGCGCATATGGCTGTTGAACCTGACTCTGTTTTTCTTCCTTACTAAAAACAGCAGACCAAGCTTCACTGATCTACACCGCCATGATCCCCTTTTCACCGTAGTTGATCCACGTTGTCGTAGAGCCATCGATGCTACACCGTTGACGTTTCGTGATGTGGAGCGCGTGGTCAATATAATAAGGTTTAGTGCCTTATTTCTCTTATAATTAACCCATTCTAATCATAATCCCTAGATTTAGTCATGAATTGCGATTAATTTGAAGGTTTTTTGTTTCACCATCAACGACCTAAATCACCTTCGTTGTTGATGATGATGATGTTTATTACGACATTGACGGGTTTTGTGTAAAAAGTGGTAGCTTTTATCCCTTGCCGTTTTCATCGAATATTCCCTAAATTATTTGTCTTTATAAGCGTAAGAGTGTTTAGCGAATTACGTTTAATTTTAAGGTGTTTTATAGATTTTGTTTCTAAGTTGCAGTAAATCCGGTGCAAGGAAAATTTAGACGTGTTAATTTAGTTTATTTAGAACGGATGTGAGAAAAACTAAGGCATTAACTTTTTTTAGGCTAAACTTTTTTAGGCTAAGCCCAGTATCAGAAAACAAGAAAGTTTAACTTTTTTTCTTGGGTTTTTGTTTCTAGTTTGCAGTTGCGTCGTCTTCAGCCATTGACATCACCCACCTTCCGCGATTCGAGTAGATGCCTCATTCGTCAAAACGCAGGTAATTTCTCCTCTCGACAGATCTTTACATGATTACAGTATTTTATTCATAAAAATTGCTTTTAACCTATTTTCTTTTAGATTCGTATATTTTCGTTTCTTGCTTTTTCGAAAACAAAAAAGGGTTTTTGAATCTTGTTTGCAGTCGCGTAGTCTTTCTTACATGTGTACATAACTTAGAGTTGTTCAGTTTCTGATTATTCATCGAAAAATAAGAAAGTGACGTGTTGCAGTTCTGTGAAGATTTTCAAAGATTCAGGCGCATCAAGATTATAGAGATTGGTTTTAACCTATCATCGTTTAAATTCGGGTACGTGTTTCTTGTTTTACGAAATACATCTTTTTGGGTTAGATAGCAGTTGTCGATGGGATCAGCCCAATTTTGAAATATTAGGTTTGTTACTTGGGCTTTTACTATTATCTAGAATTTAAAATCAATCTGATAGCCCAATAAACATATACATACATTTTGAAATATTAGGTTTGCTACTTGGGCTTTTACTATTATCTAGAATTTCAAATCAATCCGGTAGCCCAATAAACATATACATACGTTTTGAAATAATTAGGTTTATTGTTACTTAGGCTTGATTATACAAGTTAACACTCTGTTTAGATTTTGAAATAATAAGCCTTAGCCCATATTTTCATTTATTACTCAGGCCCGTTAGACGTTAGATTCTATCTGCATTTGAAGTCGTTGGGCTAAACCCATTTAAAATATACGAATATCAATATTTGCGTTCTTCATTTTCTTTGCATGTTTTATATTTCATTTTGCTTACTTGTTTTCACTATAACATTTTCAACTTTACGAATATAGATTTTTAACCTTCAGTTTTTAAAACTTATGATCACCTACACTAACTTTTTCAGTAGTTAAGTAAAAAGTTCGGCTTTCCAAGTTTAATAATTTCTAAGAACTTTTGTTTCTTTAATTTTATTTTACATGTTTTAGTTTGATCAATTTTTTAGGGTTTAGGGTTTAGGGTTTAGGGTTTAGGGTTTAGGGTTTAGGGTTTAGGGTTTAGGGTTTAGGGTTTAGGGTTTAGGGTTTAGGGTTTAGGG